GGGCTGGGGATTCGAACCCGCCACCTTAGGTGTACGTGGCTGGCGCCTTAGCCGGCTGAGCTATAGGCGCCGAGCCTACAAAGTCTTTTGACATAATTCCTGCCCTGGAGGGATTCATAAACAAGACCTAAGGATTGAATACAGCCACAAGAAATAGAAACAAGCAAGACAGTCTAGAATTGAAAGAATGGGTTATTTAAGTAGAAACCACCTTGCACAGTAAGGAGGAGAGTAGAGGCTGGCTAGCATAGTGTTGAACCTTGACTCCCTTCCCTCCTACCAGGGATATTTGGCTTTCAAATGGGGAAGAAAAAAACTTTACTAAGGTAAAGTAAATAACCTGATAAGGTTTTAGACATCAAATATCTGAATATCTACATATTGGAAATATGTAGATGGTGGCCTACTCCAAAGACAAGTAGTAAGATTGTCTGGAAAACATTTCTCTTGGGACTTAGTAAAAGTCACTCTCACTATAAGCTATCCAGGAAAATTTGTAATCACTTGAGTATAAACTATGCCCCAGCACAAAAACTGGCATTTCTGCCTAGGACATTGCCCAGTCTATTGTTTATGTTTGGATCACAAGTGCTGAATTCCAAAAAAAAAGTTAGGGATTTAGATTCACAGCTGGCAATAACCTGAACACCTACCTGAGACCACACAATAGGGTTTGGGAGTAATGAAAACATGTCTTGCATTTGCTCAGAAATTGTTTTTATCATTCCCCAGTTTACCATTCAGCTCTTCCCATGTTATTTGTTGTACGTTATCAGCTATATTTTCACGTTCTTTACCTATTGTAGTCTATATTCTCAGGAAGAATGCAATAGTAGTAGTCATAACTTTCCTTTATCATCTACCATGTGTCAGAAAAACTAAGTTAATGCTTTTACATGTATTTTTGTATTTAATTCTTTTATCAGCCCAATAAGATAATTGCTATTATCCCCTCCTATAAAGGAGAATACTGAGGTATGGAGAAGTTAAATAATTCATCCAAGGTTATATCAGGTAGTACATTGCACAGGTGGTTCAAACTCAAAAGCCAGTACCTTTAAAGACATCCATATAGTATTTATATATAGTAGGCTTTCCTGGGCTTTCAGGGATTGGTTCTAGGACTCCCTCCCATACCAAAATCTGCCTGCCACAAGTCTCTTAGATTCAATCAATTGTGGATAGAAAAAGTTAACGCTCTATATCCAAAGGTTCCACATCCACAAATGTAGATATGGAGGGTCAACTATACCACCAACTCAAAGTAAATGTCATTCTCCACTATGGTGACCAATGCAAGACTGAATTCTTGAGACGTTTAGGAACTGGTGAATCTCTAAATACACTAAACAAAGTACTGGCATACCTTGGAAATATTGAAGGTTCAGACCACCACAATAAAGATAGTATCGCAATAAACTAAGTCACACAAATTTTTTAGTTTCCCAGTGACCAACAGAGGTGGTTGCTGAAAAATGAGTGGCTATAGCAATTTCTTAAAGTGCTTAACATAATACAACAATAAGTTTGCCACACTGATGGACTCTTCCTTTCGCAAAAGTTTACTCTGTACCATACAATACTGTTAGCATTTTACCCATGACAGAACTTCTTTCAAAATTAGAGTTAAATGTCAGAAGGTACTCGGAAGGCTGAGGTGAGAGTATTGTTTGAGTCCAACTCAGACAACATAGCAAGACCCCATCTCAAAATAAATTTTTTTTTTTTTT